TGCGCCAGTATCTATGGAAGTAGGTTAGTAAACGAAAAATATTTTAATAAAAATGACGATTTTATTATAGTAAGTTCACTTTAACAGATGAAGTTCCAGAGCCAGAATTAAAAGAGTTATGGTCTCAGCTGTTTCGTGTTATGGACGATATACATGAAGGTACTCGACAAACAGCACAGGGTACAGTTACATTTCTCAGTAAAGTATGTAGAACTTAGTTTATGTTAATATAAATTATTAATATTTTTATTTTATATAGGTTTGCGTTGTAGCTGCTTCATCTGATCATGGTAAATCTGGTTTAGCTGTGTCTTCCTCTATTTTACCATTATTACTTGAAACTGGAGTTACACATACTGTCGCTGATATCCGTAAAATCAGTATTAGAACTATTTCAGAATTGATTGATTCTTCTGGATCTCTTATTAAACCTCATTTGGCTGCTCTGATACCATGTTTATTGAAAGCTACAGGAGAGTTAGATTCAACAAAGTTATCATATTTATCTGCACGGCTTGGTAACGATAACGAAGCTCAAGAAGCTGTTGATTCACTACGAGCTGAAGCAGCAAAGTCTCATCACACAACAGAGACTATAACTAAGGTATATATACAGAACAAATTGAACAAGAATCTAAGACCAAAAACTCTAGTTAGTTATATTATTGTATAGCTGGTATACATTTTCTTCTAATAAAAAGATTCAAGTGAATTTGTGTTGTTAAACTTTAATAATGAAATGAAAAAATTCCTACTTAAAATAACACGAGTCAATAACGACTTTGTGTCAGTTGGACAAAAACGTACCATAGATCACTAATACTCAAAACAGGGTTGTATGGCAAATAATTCAATTACTAAAATTGATACTTTTTGTTGTGATCCACTACTATTCAAAAACCTTTCTGTTTAAAAATACTTTCTTTCGTTACATTTGATTTTAATTTTATTTTAAATATGTCACTTCTTGTTCACTTCTTTTTTACTTTAATTATTACCATTTTAAGTGCGTGAGGTTCTTGGATTATGAATCATTGGAACAAATGACTCCAGCAGTTTTAGAACTAATGAAGACAAGCGTGAATTTGGGTACAAAAATTACCTGTGCTCACTTTGTGTGTTTGGTAAGCTAAAATATATATCGTTTATAGTATTATTGTCTAAAACTCTCTTTATTTAATATAGCTGAGCATACATTTAAGCAAGGAAATGACACCTCTTGTTGCAAAATACCTTGGTGCTTGTTTTGTTGGACTCAAGGATCGTAATCCAACAGTAAGAAAATATAGCGCTAGTGCTATTGGCCACCTAATGGGGAACGCTAAGGAACAGTCAATTAAAAACTTATTTGTAAAACTTGACGAATTATATATGGAAAGTCCTTCCAATCGATCAGTCGTGCAAACAATTCACGCAATAAACAAACGTCATCCGGAACTGTTGAAAGACTACTTAGACAGTGTAATTCCTTTAGTGTTCTTTGCTATGCATGAAGAACAAACAGAAGAAAATAAAGCCCACATTGAGTCTTGGAAAGATTTATGGAATGAAATTAGTCCAGGAGATGCTGGTATTCGTTTGAATTTAAATGTCATAATACCTAAACTAGAGAAATCATTAAATGATGCCAGTTGGCACCGTAAAGCTCAAGCTGCAAATGCAATACACACAATTGCACAGCGTTTGTGGTCTACAATTGGAGAAGATCGTATACGTTTAATAAATTTGCTACTTGTTGGGTTACAAGGACGAACATTTGATGGTAAGCAGCGATTACTGCAAGCCTTAGCTGCACTCTGCAAAGGTTTAGATAACAAACATGAGGTATGCGAACGCCTCATCGAATCAGCAATGCGTGAATGTCGTAAAGAAGAACCACGATATCGCACAAATGCACTATCATCTTTAGGTGACATATTAGAAGAACTAAATGTAGATAGATTTGAGGACGTAAGTTAAAAATCTACAAAAGGTTTTTATATTACATATCACAAATTTGGTTTGAATTCTAGGTATATAATATGATATGGTATTTGCTTGATGAAAAGGATTTACGTAAATCGGAGACTTCTGATGATGAAGATAACAAAAAGGATCTTACTGCAGATGAACGTAATAAACGCGCACAAATCTTTAACAAATTAAAGGAGACAGTTTGTGATACACTTGGAAAATCATGGCCGAAAAATGCCATTGAAACTCAAAACAAATATCAAATAATGTTTGCAGAACGGTGCTCCTTGTGCCTTAAAGATAACACAAGACCGGTTCAAGTCAGTCTATTGGTCGCGCTTACTAAATTTCTTGATCGCTTACGTATATTTGATGAACTAAAAACTGCAGAAGTAAATCAGATAGTGGAGAAAAAACTAAAAGTTGACACTTTACAAACACGTGAAGTGATCGTACAGAAAATTTGCAATGATGTACTTTCCGCTGTCTCCTATGCTGCAGGTAAAACATGATAAATTATATAAATCTAAATAAATATTCCTAATTAAAATATTTTAAACGCTTGCAGGTGTGCCACATACAGGTTTGAGAAAGGAGGCACTTAATATTGTGTTGATACTTATCAAGCGGTTGTCCGAAGCGAATGATATGAAACAATTGCAAATAGTCAAAAAATTCTTTGAAGAGGAAATAGTTAAATTTCAGAAAGATAATGCGCCCGAAGTACGGTGTCGTATTAATGACATTGAAGACAAATTGAGTAAAATCACCTATTAAAGTTGTGGTATAAGACCATAAAACTAACGAACCTTACGAAAGAATTTTCTTAAATTACTAAAATATATTCGTAAATAAAAGGATTTTATGGATAATTTTTCCTAATATAAAACTATTTATTATTTCAAATAATGAACAATCTATACAATCAATTTTTTTTGTAGATTAGATTGCATTAAGTTTTTTTATGGTAGACATAAGTTTTTGTTGAACATCAAATTAAATAAGTTTACACAATGAGATATTTAATAGTAATATTAACATCTTTAGTGATAACTAAGCGCTCATTATCTTCTTTGATACTTTTTTAACACTATCTAATCTCGTATCGAAATGTCGTTTATCTTTTAACAATATATTGATACAATCAACGGTTCTGGGTCTTAGACCATCCCTGGCAACTATGGGGTAATAAATAAGTTAAAAATGATACACGTCTTCTCAATATATTAATTACATCAGATGTGGGAATTTATTTTGTTTCAATTAAATTTGTTATACGTACAATATATTTTAAAATGGTCAATTAAAGATGGTACGCAAAACACACTTAAGAAACAACATGACTGTCATAGTCCATCTATAATAAGAAAACTCAATGTTCCACATAATCGCCGTATTGACACTTTAGTCTCATAGGTAGTAACGTCTTCCAATTAAAAGTTCTTCCAGCAACTACCGTCAAAGTTGTAGGTCAGAGGATGAAATGAGCAAAAAGGAGTATATCTGCTTTTTTTTATCAAATTTGTCCAATATCAATAAAGGCATTTTATGTTTTATTATAGCGATAAACTGGTTATCCAGTTTACTTCCGAAATGGAAGTATTTTTAACTAAGTTTTCCACAATAGTTCGCATACCCTAATAAACTGTAGCATCTACATTTACATTTATTTTAATTTTACTTCTATATATTTATTATTTGTTTTAAATTCTACGCAATTTCTCTGAAATAAGTACTTGCTATTGAATGTTTTTATACAGTAACCAATTATTGAAATTACACATAATTATTAGCAATTTTTTTTAAAGAAATCTGAAAGCTCATCTGTCATACGTCGTATTTTTTGAAGCACATGTTTATGTCATTTCTGTATGATTGTTTGCCATCAATTTTAATAACTGATATTTAAATAACTTAATTACATATATTATACCTGTATGTTTGCACGTAATTAAGTTTCTATATTATCATAACAATTTGTAAATTATAACTGCAAAATGATATTCATTTTACAAAATATCATTAATTACTAGCAAACACAAAACATCGTGTAATTTTCTTTATTGAATAATTGATATTCCACTTCAAATCTTTAACAAAATAATACAACAATAATTATCTTTCTGAAAAATATTTAATTATTTAATAAATTGTTTCATTATTTAACTGGAAAATTATTAGGGTCAATGCACTCTAATCGGTGATTTCGCATGCAATGGATCTAATATAATTTGCAGTTTAAACAATAGAATTGATATACTGCTAAATTATATTAACTGTTTAATATATGTACATAGTAGTGTAGTATTAGATTCAGTTAATATAAAACATTTATTTAGAATCAATTGGAAACAAGTATTCGAAATGAATTACATTCCACATTGAAGTACTTTATTATTAAGTACTTTATTACTTTATTAATTAATTTAGTAATTTATTATTATTTCATAACAAATTTTTCAGAACAGTGTGATTTAAATAAACAAAATTGTGTTATTTAAACATATTAATATTTCTTACTGATATAACAAGATATATAGTGTTATATATCTACTGAAGTAGTTTAGATAATCTATAGCATTCTATAGAATTCTGCTGTCTAGCAGAATGCAAAAATCCAATTTATCAAAATTAAATTATATTAATTAAACTTATTAATTTTTATTATTGATATAACAGCAAAAACAAATTAATAATGATTTCAAATTCAAAAAGATTTAGAGGTATCTTATAAAAATTCGTAAAGCTGATTTTAAACGATTTTTAGAAATAATAAATTATTAATGTTTAATTAAAATCTGTGTAATTAGCTTAGATAATCTGGAAAAAACCATAAATTTTTTTTTGGTTTTTTCATACAAAATCGACTAATAATTCATTAAGTTTGTGAATCAAATAATGAAAACTGACTTGGCATTAAACGCTTTTAACGAATTCGTCTAATTCGTTGGATGAATATATTTTAAAAAATTTTAACATTTGCCAAAGATATAACAAATCTATATAAATACAAATATATTATTATATAAAGATATAATAAATTTGGAAACTTTTTTTCACTTCAAATTTAACCAAAATTTTAATCGCTATAATCCAGAAAATCGGGTTTTGCTATACGATTAAAAGGAAAAACATCTGTATGCCCTCATATGCATACCCAGAAAATAATTTATATAATTATAATAATTTATTGTTTTCTTATTGATATAGTTCTTACTATAATCGTCGCGAGTCGATACAAATGCTATACAGTTGCTTCAGTATTCAATATATTCTGGTAATCAAAAAACCCCTATAATATTCGAATACCCCGCTTTGCGACACATTTTTTAAAAGGGAGTTTATATTTATTAATACTGTAAGAACAATTTGTTATCGTGATACGAACAAAATAAAGGACTATGAAGCTGTCAGACATTTGCAGGCCAAACAAGTTACAAATACTATAAGTCCATTAATTCTATTAATGGAGCTCCTTCTAACCATTTGGATAGAAAATCGGAATCAAAGGGAACACTTTTGAGCCAAATCTTAATTCAGACTTCGCCAATATTCAAACGGTTAACAGATACCTATCTATCAACAAGTGGTCCAAAACCAAAATATTTTTGGGAATTAAATATATGGAGAAATGTGATTCGATTTGCGTCGTATTTTGTCGATCCCAATTAACGACGCAAATCAGGGTATTAGTGTATTATTTTGATGAATGGAAAGTAAAAATCTACTTCTTAACTTGTGGAAGATATTTTAATATTTTAATAGTTATTTATCTATACATAGAGGTACGTTTATGTATTATTAATGTATTAATGTAATGACATGACTGAAAGGTAAAAATTACTATACTTAATTCATCATTTTATCTGAAAGAAACTCCACCATTTCCTCACCACAATAAATTTCAGGTTACGGGTTCCTACGAGGTGAGTTTCTACGAAATTCGAAACCTAACCTCATTATCTGGTTTGTAGCATTTTAATGTTAATAAAATATTTTTCAAATACATTTTTTAATTAAATCCATTGACGAGTTTAATAACAGATTTTTTAAATAAATTCTAGTCAATTACTACCAAAGAATGAACTCATATTGTTATTTGTCAAAAACAGATTGTTTTCATATAATTTAATATAATTTGTTTCTTAAAATTTTGTGTATATTATTAACTTTTGTTTACTTATTCAGCAATCATTTTGTGTATTTTACACAAAAATGTATAATAATTGTTTTCAATCATACGCAGCAATTTAAATACGTATTAATTATAATTATTTTACTTCGTAAATATTTATTACTTATTGCAATCTATCTCAGATTCATGTTTTTGAAATTGTTTTTGTTTAGCTTTATAATTATAATTAATATCACAACTGACTTTCAATACACTAAACTAACATATATGAAGATATATAATACCTATACGAAGATGATCATAATATATATAGATAAAGCTCCGACTTATTAAGCAAATATGAGTTTTTTAATATAAGCCGTAAAAAGAAAATGACGAACTAAAGATATTTTAAAATCTTTTACATTTTTTTTCTATAATAGAATTGACATCTGAGTTCCAAATTACAGTCAAGATAAACCATTTGCTTAAATTGATTATAACTTTACATATATAAAAAAGAAGTATACGTTTAGTGAGTTAGATAGTAACAAGAGCTTTGTTTGAGTCTTTGTTGTTAATTTAACAAAAGACTATATTTATCGATTGCAATCTTAGATTAAAAGATTTATTGTGTATTATATGCTTATTTAATTGGCATTTATGGAGCTATATGTTAGTGTTTAAATAATTGCAACTTAAATTTTTAATCTGATGTTTAAATTGAAGACAAATGTTGACAAGTTATTTTAAAAATGTTGAAGGAGCCATTTTAGTAAACTATGGTTTAATATTAAGAAGCTACTCAGAATATATAAGGAGTATATGATTTGATTTGGTTAAAGATTAAAGATTAATATTTAATGCGTTAAGATAAGTATCTTGAATAATGGATAAAGTTAGTGATGGGGCACTAGAATCTCATTATAAATTTTAAAATGATGGCAGTTGTTTTTTTCCACACTTGAGTTTATTTTTATATTACCAATATCTGTTAGTTAAATTTAAATGTAATATAAATAATAAGATTAATTTTGAATATGCTGCCAAATATTATTTTTTTATTAGTTACTGTTTTACAAGTACATAATTGATTAGGAATAAATAATTTTACTATAAAATATCTACATCGTTACGATAGTTGATATTGCTTTTTATATAAATCGTTAAATTTTGTTTAACAATAATTCCCCTAACTTACCAAATTAAAAAAACCTTTTTTGTTTACTTGATATAACATTTGTGATAAATTTAGTAGAATTTCAATCGATTAAATTTAAGTTTGTTTCAGTTATTTTTTAACTTTTTTTTCTAATTTTTCACAACTATGTATATAGCATGTATAACTAAAACGCGACTAACTGAAATAATTTTTTTTTTGTTGCGTAGTAAATACATACATACATTTTTACATAAATTTATTTATGTTTACCAAAATAATACAAGTCGTTGACATTTTGTAATAGTTGAAGGTAACTTAAAAATACTTAACAAAAAAAATATATATGAGTTCATTAACTTACACAGATATGTATATGTTTATAGATAATACTATGGATTTACGAGTATATTGAGATAATAAAAAATTTATTAAGTACAGTATTTGAACTGATTTCTAGTTCAAGTTAGATCTAGCAAAAGTTATTGTTCACTATTTCCTTGCACCTTATAAACTAATAAATTCACGTTTTTAGTAGAAGCTATTAACGTTTTAAATATGTAGGTATGATATATATAAACATATGTTTGTATATACACTTAAATATACTAATCGAAATATAAACATATATCCTAACTATTGTAGTATTTTGTAAAAAATTTCGTTTCGTATATAAATGAATATATATATATTCTACCATTCAGTAGCTTCTATCGCCCTATCTTATATGGCAATATATACAGGATTTACTATGGAAACTTGCCGTACTTGACAGTTTACAGTAACAGAAACTTATTCAAAAGTTTTTATACAAGGAAAAATTTCGCAATCATATAAAGCTAAACTAGATCTAAAACATATTATACGCGTATCATACGATCTCCATTCATGATCTTGACAACTTTTTGACAATATTCCTCAAAAAAAAAATACTCAGGCATATGAGTACTTACAAAAAATACAATAGCACTAAACGTAATATTTAAAATTCTAAAAGCTAAAATTAGATATTTTTGTTAAACTAAGATGAACTAAAATGTAAACGATTAAATAGACGATTAAATAGTAGTGAAGTATTATCTGATTTGAAAATTAGTCACTATATGTACTATATACGAGTATTTGGATATGATGCATAATCAAATGTCTAAAGCTTTTGCTCAGCCAATCTAATACTATAAGCTCCTCAAGGATCATATATAGTTAATAAATAAAGCTGCCTATAAAACGCAAACTCCTCAAACGAACGACAAAAAGAAAGATATATACGTTTGGCTGTAACACACGGGTGTCTATATATTAAGTGTAGATATAATTAACCAACTTAACATATTTGAAAGAATACTAAGAAATACATCCAGTTTTGGTGAAGTATTCGGAAGTACACTGTAAACAATACAACAACGAATTAGAGAATATAAACAATGGAGAGAATATAGTTAAATTTGTATAGACACAGTGTATTCTGTCGATGAATTATATTAGATTTATGACTTATAGCATTTCCAACAGAATGCCATTCAACAGAATACCGTAATATGTATTGGGCACATGCGGTGAAGAAAATATGTATGACTATAACAGATTGATGACTTGGAAAATGATCTGAAAAGTTTGAACGTGTACAACTATTGTTGATTGACCATGGACCATGTGGTGTAGATAAAAAAGGTGAAAAGAGAACTCATGAAGATCCTAATATAAACATTTATTTAAACAATTATGTTTTTCTTTAAAACCCTAAAGTTTATCAAATCTGCACCCATTTAAATAAAGCTTAGCATTCATATTAAATACTGTGAATAATCATAAAATATCTATTTTGATTGTTCAGTTTATAAGGCAAATAATAAAATACTTACTTCAATAAATTGCTCAGTTCTTAAAACACAAGTATTTTAAATATTTCATTCATCTAACTAAAATACTAGAAACAACTATACTGAGTTGCAATCGACTAAACAAGGAGTTGAAGGATCAGTTTAATAAATAATTTAGATTCCTATGGATGTAATTATTGATAAATGTATATTTTAAGCAATTCGAAATGCTGATAAGATTTATGTATGTAACTAAATTAATTTATTAAGTATTTACAATATTTCAGGTACTTTTAATTACTTGACTTTAGATAAGAAATTATAAGATGTTTACTAGAAGATAACAAACAAAATGATATAAATTTAATTAGCCACGATTTTGATAAGTAGACTTAACTTAAAAACTAGCCGTAACTAACTGAATAGTTCTTAGTTGATTTTCAAAGCATATCTCTACTAAAATAATAAGTATTATTTTCAACAAGCGTATATGTATATATATATATCTCTTGTTCTATATATTTATATATATTTGATTATTTTGATAATATAAATAAATATCATACAAAATAATAGTTTTTTGTAAGTGGTAGATAGCGAATGGACAATGATTTGCAGTAATTTATAAGATATATTAATGTATTACTGGAGAAAGTCTTTTAATCCGGACATAGGTTAATGATATTTAAAAAACATATAATATTCCCTATTACAAGTTTAGATATCTTTTTCGATTTAAAAAAGACACGACATTTCTTTTCTGACTTTAGATTACGTGCAGAGCAGATGGATATATCACTCTGTAAATCATAAAATGTGGAATTGCTCACATCCTTTGAGCCCATAATACCTTTCTCTCCTTAAGCGAAAGTACAACTACATACGACTTAATAATTTTTATAATGAGATGATATTTACCTACATTATTTTTTACTAACAGCAAATGATAGCACAAAATATGTTCTAACTGCAAAGAAGGCTATTAAATTGAAGCTTCCATTTTTATATTAATTGCAAGTGATCGAGAAGTGAATGCTGTTTAGAAACCTCAATCTTAGCATACTAATATTTATTAAAATTATATTGCTACTTATTAATATCAGTAACAATTTTTATTTGTAAAACATTAATTCTTAATAAGATGGAATATAACAAATGAAGCGTGATCTATTAATTTAATATAGACAGTTATTTTTGGCTCACCATTATTAACACTTACATCTTAGTTCCAGTATACAAACACATACTAGACAAATGTTTATGATTACAAAAAATTAATCTGCTCTATTACAATTAGCAAATATATTTTCTTTGCTTCGATTACAGCACTCTAATACTCACTGATATAAAGTGAAAAAAAATAAATAAGGATCTAGTAGTCTGTTATTCTGATAACGACATATATTAACAGTTGTACTTTCTTAACTACCTTCACATCAAAATTAAACTTACTGAGATATATAAGCGATAATTTACAAAAATAATATTTCAGAAGGATGATATTGATTTTAGACACGAAGGCGTACAATGTATTTATATTTGGCACTAGATGGCGAATGTAGTTTTTTTATTAGTTTAATCAGTTTAAAAAATTTAAACAATAAATAACGATATCTTGAGAAGGGCGTCAGGATAGTCTATTATTCGCATATAATCCGTGAATCCTAGGAAAATCTGAATCGTATCTGATTTTACGAAAATAGTTATGAAGGGAAGTGTTGAAAAAGTCAGCAAAAGATATAGCTCAGGTATATTACCATTTGGAACATAATAGATGAACTTACTTTCGGCATGTGCTCTATGAAAGTGCAATATTATAAGATTTTATATACTTTTATTTTGTATTTGTGTAAAGAAATATATAGATTTGAGGATTTTTTTTTCATAATATGACTCGAGTATGTTATGTTAAATTATTATATATTTGCATACTCATTTTTAATATATGTTTAAAACTAGTTCATAACAAATCTGTTCAAATTGATTTATTATATGAAATAATATATTAGGAACACAAAGAATTACAAAAAAAAAATTCTGTATAATTAAAGCATTCATATTTTTTAGATTCGCATATATTTGGATTATCTATGTTTTATTAAAAAATAAAATATAAAATATTTTTTGAAAAATAAGTAAATACTAAAGTTAGAAAAAAATAATTTAGCTACTGTAAAAAATAAACATTTTTAAAATGCCTAATCATTCTACTCATCGTAGCTTCTCTATCAGAATTGGTGAGCGACGCTGATATGACTTGACTCGCCAAAAAATCGTATAAAAACATGCTAAGATCGAATACGAAGTCAGTACGAAAAGTGAAATCATAAGGAAATAAATGTTTAAAAAATAAAAGTATTTGTTTTTAATAAAATGGCGCTGCTGTCGCAATTATTTTCCACAAATTTATTTTCGCATTTAACGGAAGTTCTCGCGGTATCCGTTGTGTTCTTGTCGATAGTTTGGCTCTGGCTACAACATCACTACAGTTATTGGAAACGTCAAAATGTGCCTTACATCAAGCCATTACCATTATTTGGAAACTTTAAGAATGTGATTACTTGGGATGTTGACATCTGTGCACATTTCCAGAACTTGTACAATCATAAAAATGCTATCGATCAACCCGTTGTGGGGTTATTCATGTTTAATAAACCTTGCCTGCTAGTGCGTGATTTAGAAATCGTAAAATCAGTGCTTATCAAGGATTTTAATAAATTTTCAAATAGATTTGCCGCATCGGATCCCCACTCAGACTCTTTAGGGGCCAATAATTTATTTTTTGCCAAAAATCCTAAATGGAAAGAGATACGTGTAAAATTAACACCAGTGTTCACAAGTGGCAAAATGAAACAAATGTTTCCACTCGTTGAAGAGGTAAGTTCGGTTTAGAGAATCCCGGAAATTTTAAAAAAAATTTATTGATATAGAATTCGAAAGAAAAAAACGAATATTAACATATTAGTAAATAAAAAAAAGTATATGTAGTGAAAGTATATATTTAGTATATATATATATGGCTCCATCAAAAGTATATGCAAAACTTCCATCAGGTAACATATTACTCTAATTGATGTGATCTGATTGATGTGAAGAAATGTACGATAGATATTCAATTTTTATATTCTTTAATTTTATTTAGCTGAAGAATAAAGAGTTATAATTTATTATTATAATTATTTTAAAAATATATGTTATATATTATACAAAAAAATATATAAATATAATATCTATTATACATTATTATTTTATATAAAAATTATAATAGGCTTAAATAACAATAATGTTATTTTGGGTTATCCTTACAGATATTATCAAAAAGCCTCATCAGTATTTTTATTTGAAAAATACATTGTCCGTTTATATTAGACCGCAAATGCAAAAACTGAAATCACACTGTTTTAAGTTTCAGAAACACATAACTATATTTTTTAACCCATGATTTAATAGATTACTTCTCTGTTAATTTTTTTTAAATTTTATAACTTTATTTAAATTTATTTAAAATTTATTTGGAATACAAAAAAATAAATCGTGAAATAATGCTATAATTAAAATTAAAAATTTTAACTTTGCTTTAAGGATTAAGTTAGGGAATAACTAACATGAACTAAGAAAAAAGGAATCTAGGTAGGATTTACTACCTATTTTAAAATGTAAAAAAGATACATGTTTGGAATCAAATTTGAAGAGATTCCGGTAGACCAATTGGGCTCAAATTAGATTCTAATGAAGGGCCATCCCAAGAATAGATTTAGAAAATACATTAAAACTATAGAACTTAGAGCGCAAAAGATTAACTATGGTCGCGTTGCTCTGCTCTTTCAGGAACCAGTATCCTGTTTATTTATATTCTATAAAAGACTAATTTAGAACGAAAGAGGTGAACATATAACAATTAATTCATTCTGTTTTCATCATTTCTTCTTCTTGCCTTGTCTTCGGTGTTTTCTACACTCAATAGCAAAGATCCTAACAAACTCAATACACGCTTTCTTAACAAGAGAGAGAAAGTATGTATGAAGTACAAATTGCGACCTATTATCATGTTGTAGGTTACTGCTTGCGTCAATATCATTCTAAAATTATGCCAATAAAATACCAAATACAATATTATGGAAATTATTATTTAACAATCAAAACAAGCGTACTCGTATAGTTTTTTATTAATATATTTTTTAGTTAAAGCTCAAGGCTTGAAGTTCTTTCATTTAAAATTATAAATTGCAAAACATCACAAGTTTAGTAGATACGATTCGAGAAATGTGTATAATTAAGTCGCAGTCATCAATCACTTTTAATGATGTATTAAATAATCAATTTTTTTTAGTTATAATGTCTTATCAAAAAATATTTGCTTACTAAAATGAATAACTTACAAATTGAAAGTGTGCCGAATATGATTTTATTTATATTACTTTTATTTTTTACTTTGTATTTAAGTTGCAATATAATTATTTCGTTGAATCAACAATTCTAATTTTTTATTCTTCTAACTTTACAGGTCGGACGTGAACTTGATAAATATCTTTCCTCTCTACCTATCGATCCAGAAACAAATGCCATTATGAAAGAAGTAAAAGACTTGAATACTCTCTTTACGACAGATGTCATAGCTACGGTTGCATATGGAATACGCGCAAATAGTATGATTAATCCTGATGGTGATTTTCGTACAAATGGTAAAAGAATATTTGAATTTACCAGACGTCGTGCTTTTGAATTTACTGCAATGTTTTTCATGCCTAGCATAGTGAAACTTTTTGGTTTTAAGGTATTTTCGAAGGACACTACAAACTTCTTACGTGAAACTATTAATTATGTTATATCGGAACGTATAAAATCGGGTACCACTCGGAATGATCTTATTGACATACTTGTGAACTTCCGTAAGGAAGCAGAAGCTAGCAAAGATAAGAATCATTTCATTTTGGAAGGTGATTGTTTAGTGGCACAAGCTGCTATTTTCTTTTCTGCTGGTTTCGAAACTTCATCATCTGCAATGTCCTTCAGTTTGTATGAATTGGCGCGCCATCCAAAGCTACAAGAACGCTTACGAGAGGAAATACGTGAAGCGTTTCAAAGTAACAATGGCGTAATAACCTATGACATAATAAAAGATATGAAATTTTT